GCTGGAAGTGGCGCTGTGGCTCAAGTGGTAGAGTGCTAGCCTTGAGCTGAAGAGCTGAGGGATGAGGGACAGCGCCCAGGCCCAGAGTTCAGGCCCCATGACTGGACCCCCCCCCCAAAAAAAGAAGCTAGCTAGCCAGGACAAGAAAGTCCATGAGAAACTTATCTCCAATTAACCAGCAAAATGCTGGAAATTGAGTTGTGTCTCAAGTGGTAGAGCACTAGCTTTGAGCAACCAGGTCCTGAGATCAAGCCCCAGTAACCAGCACACACGTGCACACTCAAATACACACAGCTATACACACACACCAATTTAATACAAATAAGTAAAGGACTAAAAGATGAAATGGAATAGGCAAAGCATCAGATGGAGGAAGACAAGGCCAAACAGAAGAAAGACAGAAGCCGCAGGTGGGAAACTGAGGCAGCCCTGAGCGTTGGGGTAAGCCCAGAGTCTCCAGTAAACTATTTGAGGGGTTATCAGGCAAACGTGGGACCCCTAGAATGACAATCTAACGTTATCCGTCACCTGCCCAGCATGCGTCACCCGTGGTGAGCTGTTCACACCCAAGTCCCCCCCCTCCCCAGGCCTCCACGACTTACTTCTGCACCATGATCTTCTTCCTCAGGTCACAGCCCACAGAGATGAGTGTCGACTGCAGACAGACAGACAGACAGGCAATATGGTTCCACAGCCCACCACAGGCACACCCACGGAGAACGTGCTCCCATAGGCCTGACAGAGGCCGGGCGTGGCTCGGTGCTGGGAACCCTGAACCCCACCTTACCACATCACCAAACCAGCAGCTTCTTGGGGAACAGGGCAGCTTGGAAGAACCCAGTTCAAACCCTTGTGGACCCAGGAAGGGGGGGGCGGGACAGGTGGGCAGCATGGAGAGACGGAAAGGGAGGAGACAGGGCTGGAGGGAGGAGCAGAGGGATGGGGATGCGCCTGGTAGCTGCAGGCATTGTGCTCTGTAGACGGAGGCGTGCTGCTCAGAGCAGCACCAAAGCATCTCGGGAGCCCACGCCGGCAGCACCCACCTGTCATCCTAGCTACTCAGGAGGCTGAGATCGGAGCAGCACGGTTAGAAGCCACTGTGCGCAGGGAAGTCCTTGGAACTCTTATCTCTGGTTAACCACCAAAAAGCCAGAAGTGGCACTGTGCCTCAAGTGGTAGAGTGCTAGCCTTGAGCAAGAAAATCTCAGGGACAGCGCCCAGATCCTGAGTTTAAGCCTCAGGACAACCAAAAAAAAAAGGGGGGGACCCTGGGAATCTGGAACTTTTTTTTTTTTTGCCAGTCCTGGGTTTGAACTCAGGGCCTGGCACTGTCCCTGAGCTTCTTTTGCTCAAGGCTAGCACTCTACTACATGAGCCACAGTGCCACTTCTGGCTCTTTCTGTGTGTGTGGTGCTGAGAAATCAAACCCAGGGCTTCATGCATGCTAGGCAAGCACTCTACCACTAAACTACATTCCCAGCCCAACATTTTTTTTTTTTTGCCAGTCCTGGGACTTGAACTCTGGGTCTGTGCACTGTCCCTGAGACTTTTTGCTCAAAGCTAACACTCTACTACTATGAACCACTGCACCACTTCTGGTTTTCTGCTGGTTCACTGGAGATAAAAGTCTTATGGGCTTTCCTGCCCAGGATGGCTTTGAACTGTGATCTTCGGATCTCAGCTTCCTGAGTAGCTAGGATTATAGGCGCCCAACTGGAATAATTTTATTTTGGATCAAATTTTATAATAAGACAAACAAATATCTATTGTTGGGCAGGAAGTAAGATTCATACCTAATTTGTAAATTCATGATGAAATCTACATCAAATTGACCTTCTAAAATTCAAATATGATAAAACATAAGCAAGGTAGGTTTAGCATTTTAGCCATGTTTTCTTCAGTCATGGGGCTTGAACTCAGGGCCTGGGCGCTGTCCCTTAGCTGTGTCACTCAAGGCTGGTGTTCTACCACTTGAGCCACAGCGCCTCTTCCAGCCTTTTCTGTGTATGTGGTGCTGAGGAATCGAACCCAGGGCTTCATGCATGTGAGGCAAGCACTCTTACCACTAACCCACTTTCCCAGCCCACTTTAGCCACTGGGCAGTGGCATTCACTGAGCCAGCCTGAGGAGCTCTGGGGTGATCAGTAAGGAATAGCACCCCCTGGTGGATGGTGAGGCACAAGAGCCAGCCAGCTCTAGGGCTCATGCTGGCAGGCCGGCCAGGACCCGATCACTTTCACGTAGATCTTGAAGCCAGCCCTTGGGGCCCAACACTCCACTGCATGTGTAGTAAGAGAAGGCCTGGGACCTACCAGTGGCTTCATGTCCACGCAGGAAATGTCCTTGTTGGCCACATCCACTGTTAAGGTAGACAGGGTGGGCCGCTTGATGCTGCAAGACAGTGTGAGTCTGTGTTAGGAGTGAGCACTGTGCAGTGAGACCTGGTAACCTCCACCCACCATCCACCATCATCCAGCCATCCATCCACCATCCACCATCATCCAGCCATCCATCCACCATCCATCCATAACAAGTATATTTCTTTTCTTACTCTTCTTTTTTTCTTACTCTTTCTCTTTTCTTACTCTTCTCTTTTTCTTACTCTTTCTCTTTTCTTACTCTTCTCTTTTTCTGGTCCTGAGTCTTGAACTCAGAGCCTGGGCACTGTCTGTGAGCCTCTCTGTGCTCAAGGCTAGCACTCTACCACTTGAGCCACACTGCCCCTTCCGGCTTTTTATGGGTTATTGAGCAATTGAACCCAGTGCTTCATGCGTGTTAGGCAAGCACTCTACCACTAAGCCACATTCCCAGCCCTCACATATACAATTTTCTAGTCACTATATTAAATGGAAACTTGAGGCCATTTATGAGTATTTTTTCCTTCTTCCCCTCTTTTCCACCCATTCTTCCCTCTCTTCTTCTCTGTGTATGGGGTGCTGTGGGCCTAGGGCTTCCCACATCCCAGCTCCATGACGAGCTGTACCTCAGCTCATAAGTGAGCTATGATGGAGTGTGTGTGTGTGTGTGTGTGTGTGTGTGTGTGTGTGTGTGCGCGCGCGCGCACGTACATGCTGCTCCTGAGACTTGAACTCAGGGCCTGGGTGCTGTCCCTGAGGTGTTTTTTCACTCAAGACTAATGCTCTACTAGTTGAAGCACAGCTCCACTTCTAGCTTTTTGCTGGTTAATTGGAGATAAGAGACTCATAGATTTTCCTGCCCAGGCTGGCTTTGAACTGCGATCCTCGAGCCGGGCGCTGGTGGCTCATGCCTGTAATCCTAGTTACTCAGGAGGCTGAGATCTGAGGATCGCGGTTCAAAGCTAGCCCGGGCAGGAAAGACTGTGAGACTCCTATCTCCAATAAACCACCAGAAAACCGGAAGTGGCGCTGTAGCTCAAGTGGTAGAGCGCTCGCCTTGAGCTGAAGAGCTGAGGGACAGCGCCTAAGCCCAGAGTTCAAGCCCCACGACCGACAAAAAAAAAAAAAAAAAAAAACCTGCCATCCTCAGAGCTGAGGCTCTGAACAGAGGTTGAGTGCTGAGGAGGATTACAGGAGTGGGTCACCAGCGCCACCTAGCGTTTTTTCTTTTATTTTTTTGGTCGGTCCTGGAGCTTGAACTCTGGGGCCTGGGGGCTGTCCCTGAGCTCTTCAGCTGAAGACGAGCACTCTACCACTTGAGCCACAGCACCACTTCCAGTTTTATTGGAGATAAGAGTCTCACGGACTTTCCTGCCCCGGCTGGCTTTGAACTGTGATCCTCAGATCTCAGCCTCCTGAGTAGCTAGGATTACAGGCGTGAGCCACTGGCGCTCGGCTCCTATTGCTTTTTTCTTTTTTTCTGAAGACATATTACTTCTAGTTTCCCCTTGCTCTGTGCTGTGGCCACAGCTGGGACGTGGGGAGCTGCAGGCCTCGCAGGTGACATCAAATGTGGCCTTGGTGATGTTGGCTGGGGGAGGCTGCATGGTCCTGACTGAATGGTGGGCCAGCATGGACCCAGGGCCGGTCCCCTTGGTTCAATGGTGATCTCTGTCCCTGAGGGGTCCTCCCCAAGGACCATGGAACACTTGACAAAGATGACCCGGGGGCTGCTGGCAACCGCTCTAAAGGAGAGCGCTGTCCTGACTCCAAGCCCCCTCTCTGAGGGTTGGCCCTGGGCAAAACCAGGTGTGGTGGCTTACACCTATGGTCTCAAGCCCTTCAGCAGGAAGGGATCTGAAGGATTGTAGAGGGAGGACAGACTTGGGGGCAGGGGGAAGAGAAAGAGAAAAGTTATCAGGGAAGTCCTCATCTCAGCAATCTGTGTGGTGGCACTCACTTGTTACAACACAGGCATAGCAAACCAAAACAACGCAGAGGCGTGGCTCCGCCCTGGGGCGTGGCTCTGCCCTGGGGCGTGGCTCCGCCTGGGCGTGGCTCCGCCTGGGCGTGGCTCTGCCCTGGGGCGTGGCTCTGCAGTAGCTCCTGGCTTAAGAGGTAGAGCATCTGCCTAGCTAGTGCAAGGCCCGGAGTTCAAACCCCAGTTGTGCGCGCGCGCGCGCGCGCACACACACACACACACACACACACAAGCCAATAACCCAATAACCATCACCACAAAAGAACACTCCTGCCAGGCACCAGTGTCTCACACTTGTAATCTTAGCTTCTCAAGAGACTGAGATCTGAGGGTCACGGTTCAAAGCCAGCCCCAACAGGAAAGGCCGTGAGACTCACTTCTCCAATAAACTACTCAGAAATAAAAGCCAGAAGTGGTGCTGTGGCTCAAGTGGTGGAGCGCTAGCCTTGAACACAAAGAGGCTCAGGGACAATGCTCAGGCCCAGAGTTCAGGCACCAGGAACAGAAAAAAGAAAAAAAAAGGAAAATAAAAAGAATACTCCTGCTGTTTGATCCTTGCCTAACTTTGACCCTGAGTGCCGCCTGTGGGGTCTTGTGGGGTTCCGCTGGTTCCTGCTGGGTGCTGTCTCCCCTCCCCCCTGCAGGCGCGGGGCCCCTGGGGGTCCAATGTCACCTTCTCTTGCAATGGGGACTCGCTGGCACCCCCATCGTTCGTACCATGCACAGCTGGAGCCTGCTGCCAGAGGAGAGCAGTTCCCAGGGCAAACTCCATCCAGGGGGGGAACTCGGAACCCGGGTCCCCTTGTACTGTGTTACACACAGGAAAGCTGGGCTGGAAACAGATGGAACCCCTCCCTCCCTCCATTTTGCTTCCCCTCCTTGCTGAGTAGCTGTGCTGCCATTTGCTGCCTGCCTGCTTACCATGGTGGCAAGATACACTGACTTACAATTGAACATGGTGGCCAGGTGCTGGTGGCTCACACCTGTAATCCCAGCTACACAGGAGGCTGAGATCTGAGGATCATGTTTTGAAGCCAGCCTGGGTAGGAAAGTCTGTGAGACTCTGATTTCCATTTAACCAAAGAAGCCAGAAGTGGAGCTGTGGCTGAAGAGGTAGAGCACTAGCCTTGAGTAAAAAGAGATCAGGGACAGCACCCACGTCCTGAGTTCAAGCCCCAGGACCCAGTTCAGCCACATCAAGTGGTCCTGTGGCCGCGTAGCCTTTCCCACCCTCCACCTGCAGACCTTTCCACACTGAAGCTTTGTCTCCATTCAACTCTACCTCCTTTCTCCTCCCAGCTGTTGGCGCTCATGCATTTCCTTTCTCTGGATCTGAGAAGTCCTGGGAGCTGCAGCCGGGGGTTACTGTGGTGTGTGTCACTGCCTGTGTCTGCTTTGTCACCTTGCCCAAGCACCATGTCCTCACGTCTCTCCACATTGCACTATTAAAATGTCCCTTTTCATGGCTGAGTGATATTCCCACCACGATTGGATGGGCCTATCCTGGATGCCACCCTATCCTGGGCACAGAGCTCGCAGTGTGTGGAGACCTTCCTGCAATGCCTGAGGGTGGGGCTTGCCTAGATGGCAATTCTGCCTCTAATTTTCTGGAGGCAGTGTGATCGGCAGAGTAGTTGTTTTTACTCCCAGCTCACCTGGAGGTAAACTTGGGGTCTGTCCTGCCCGAGTGCTGCTGCTGCTCCAGTTTAATGTCCTGAGGAACAACAGGATGGGGGTGGGGGAAGCGAAGTGTCTGAACAGGGCTCCGCTAGACGTCAGGGTGGGGTGGGCTCAGGTGGGGACAGCGCCGAGGAGCGCCCCCATGCCCCCTTTCACATGACACCTCCCAGTAAGCCGGGGGGGCCTCAGGCCTCTCTCCCCTGACTCCCCCATGTTGTGACAAGGGCCACCAAAAGCATTTGTCCTGCAGACCCCCCAGTCCGGCCGAATTGTGACCCGTCCTAGATCCTAGAGCCCTGTCAAGGTGCAGGGGCCCCCAAGTGGACCTCCTCAGAGGCCAATTACCACCCCAACCCTTGTGGGGTTCCCTGTGTGACCCAAGTGACCCCGCAGTTGGGGCGGGGCCAAGGAGGAAGGTGTGGACTCCGGGGGCGGGGCCTCTGAGGGCATGGCTTCCCTGGGGGCGGGGCCTCCGAGTGTGTGGACTCCCAGTGGTGGGGCCTCGAGGGGCGGGGCACCCAGGGGTGGAGTTGCATGGGGCAGGAAATCTGAGGGGGTGGGGCCTGTAGGGGGCGGGGCCTCTGAGGGCGTGCGCCCAAGGGGGCGGGGCCTCTAGGGGCGGATTCGCTGGGCGGGGCCTCCGAGGGTGTGGACTCCTAGTGGTGGGGCTTCAAGGGGCGGGGCCTTTGAGGGGGTGTGGTCTCGGGGGCGGGTCCTCCTGGGGTGTGGGCTGGAGTTACTGAGGGCGGGAACTCTGAGGTGAGGGGCATCTGACAGCAGGGCCTACCCAGGACGCGGGCAGGCAGGTCCCAGCCTGCGGGCTGCCCTCACTCACCAGCCTGTACTGGGTGTTCCCATCCAGAGTGCTCCCGAACTCACTCATGGTTGCATGCAGCCCCAGAGAGTGGGGGTTGCTTACCATCACCTGCAGGATCGTGGGGGGGGGTGCGGAGAGAGACAGGCTGCCACACGGCCAGGGACCCCGGCCCCATCCACTGAACCAGCTTCTGAACCCAGGGGAGAGCGCTGCAGGCAGGCAGGCCTGGCCCCCGCAGCCCGGCTCCTGGGCCTGGAGGGCTGGAGACCTAGCCCACGCGTGTGGTCCGGTTCAGGCTCTGTCCCCGCGGGGACGCAAGGGCCCAAAGGCCATTTTGCCTGGTTCTCAGACATGCAGCTGGCCGTGAAGATCCTCACGGGGCTGGGGGGGGGGGCTCCGTGCTCAGGGCTCGCCTGGTATGCACAGGGCTCTGCCTTCCAGCAGGATGAAGAAGTAAAAAAATAAGGGGATGAGGTGGAGGGGAAGGAGGGGAGGAGGAAGGAGAAGGGAGGAGGAGGAGGGGGAGGAGGAGGAAGAGGAGCGGGAGGGGAGGGGTAGGGGAGGGGAAGGGGGAGGGGGAGGAGGAGGAAGAGGAGGTGGAAGAGGAGGAAGAAGGAGAAGAGAGGAGGAAAGGGAGGACAATAACTAGGACCAAGGGCAAGGAGGAGGAGGCAGTGGGGAAGGAAGAAGAATTCATGGGGAGGCTCAGACAGAAGGGAGAGAAGGTAGCCTGGTGCCAGTGGCTCACACCTGTAATCCCAGCTACTCAGGAAGGGGAGATCTGAGGATCACAGTTTGAAGCCAGCCTGGGCAGAAAAGCTGGTGAGACTTCTATCTCCAAATAACTACTAAAAGAGCCAGAGGTGGTGCTGTGGCTCAAGTAGCAGAGTGCCAGCTTGGAGAGAAAAAGCTCATGAACAGTATCTGTCTAGGCCCAATATTCACATTCACACACACACACACACACACACACACACACACACACACACATCAGCATGCAGAGGTGGCCAGGCTGGCAGAGAGGCAGGCAGGGCCTGAGGGCCTGGGAGACCATGGTGGTGGCTGGGTGGCAGGAAGGCAGGGTGGGTCCCAGGTGCAGAGATGGGTTAGGCAGTGGCTGAGACTGTGGCCGAGTGCTGGGACTCACTCACTAGTGGAATGGGGGACGTGCCAGGCCGCGGAATGAAGAAGGCTGACAGGAGCAGGCTGCTTTTCATATCGATGGTGTAAAGGTCTTCATCAAACTGGCCCTCCAGCAGCTCTATCTAGGTAGGAAGCAAGGCCTGCTCAGGAAGGGTGTAGCTCCAGGCCCCACTCCCAGGGACAATGAGCAAGTTTGGAAGGTGATACAGGGGTCTAGGGTTAGAAATGTGGGGGCCTGTCTGCTCAGCGACCTAGGCCTTGGGCCCAAAGAACCCTGCCTGTGGATAGTGTCCCCTCAATCTCTAGGCAGTCATTGCTGCCTGGGGTTTCTGTAAGCCTGCTTTGTGAGTGCTTTTGCTTCTCCTTCTCTGTATGCACACATGCATGCAGGCACATGCACAGTACTGGGACTTGAACTCAGGGACTGGGTATTATCCCTTAGTTCTTCCTTACTTCCTTTCAGTCTTGTTCCTTAGGAAAGTCTATGAGACTCTTTTTTGTTGCTGTTGTTGTTGGTCATGGGGCCTTAACTCTGGGCCTGGGCACTGTCCCTCAGCGCTTCAGCTCAAGGCTAGCACTCTACCATTTGAGCTACAGCACCACTTCCGACTTTTTCTACTTAGGTGGTGCTGAGGAATCAAACCCAGGGCCTCATGCATGCAAGGCAAGCGCTCTACCACTGAGCCACCTTCCCAGCCCCATCCATGAGACTCGTATTTCCAATTAATCACCAAAAAGCTGGAAGTGGGGCTGTGGCCCAAGTGGTAGAGTGGCAGCCTTGAGCAAAAAAGCTAAGGAAGGGCTGAGAAGGTGACTCAGTGGTAGAGCGCTTGCCTTGCATGCCTGAGGCCCTGGGTTCGATTCCTCAGCACCACATAAGCAAAAAGAAAAAAGCCGGAAGTGGCGCTGTGGCTCAAAGTGGTAGAGTGCTAGCCTTGAGCTGAAGAGCTGAGGGACAGCGCCCAGGCCCAGAGTTCAGGCCCCATGACCGGACCCAAAAAAAAAAAAAAAAAAAAAAAAAAAAAAAAAAGCTAAGGAATATTGCCCAGGCCCTGAGTTCAAGACCAGGACTGTTGAGCACACACACACACACACACACACCACATACTACACACACCATACACACAGCAAACAACAAAAACAAAAACAAGGGGCTGGGAAGATGGCTCAGTGGTAGAGTGCTTGCCTTGCATGCATGAGGCCCTGGGTTCAATTCCTCAGCCCCACATAAATAGAAAAAGCCAGAAGTGGTGGGCACCAGTGGCTCACACCTGTAATCCTAGCTACTCAGGAGGCTGAGATCTGAGGATCATGATTCAAAGCCAGCTCGGGCAGGAAAGTCCATGAGACTCTTATCTCCAATAAAGCACTAGAACCCTATTACACTGCTGGTGGGAATGTACACTTATACAACCACTTTGGAAAGCAGTCTGGAGGGTCCTTAGAAAGCTAAAGATTGATCTCCC